GTGCATTTTTTTAAAGACTGTTCAAAGTCAACGAATTTTGAAAAGTTTAAATTCATAATTTAATAAAAAGTTGTAGTTCTAAAAAACTTGGGGCACTTATCATTCTAGAAATGGTTCCAAAATTTAAATGAACAAAAATAATAAAAATTGATTGCAATAACTGAAAAATGCTCACAACTTTTTTTTCTGATATTAAATAACATTCTTTACAAACATTTTAAGAGTAGGTTTATTTCATTGTCAGTATAAACCGAATTATTAAATTTAATTAAATATAATTTTATAATATATCAATAAATCTGTATAAAAACAATAATAATTAAGAGGAAAAACGAGAAGGAAATATTTCCAATGAAAACAGTTAAGAATCCCAGACAAATTCTATTTCAACCAATAAATTCCACCCGTAAAATTATATTACTACATTGTAGGGAATGCAATACCGGTATACCGAATTACCGGTAAACCGCCCGATTTTTCGGCGGTATTTTTACCGGTATTTATTCCAAAAATACCGGTAATTTTACATAAGCGCTTTTTGATACATAATAGCCTAAAGTTTAAATTTTCCGGAACAAATTTACCTTTAAATTTATATAATCGCATAAACAGCTATATCTTCAAGTGATTCTATAAGATAAACAAATGTCAAATATTATCTCAACTCGTCATTAAACTGAATATTTATTGCTTTCTAAAGGGCTTCATATCGTGTTATAATAAATATAATTGGACTGATAGGTAATGATGTTTGTTTCACTTTTTGTAAAAATGTAACCGTTTTTTAACTGATATTTGCGCCAAAATATTTTATATCATACAGATTACCCCTGCGTAACCTTTAGTTTTTTCTAACTTTATATATAATAATTATGATAATTACTAAATATTTTTGCTTCTTATTACAATTATAAAATATTATGTTTCGAAGTTTGAAAATACTATAGAAGCATCACATTGTTTTGAATAAAAATACTCAACAATTATATTAACTTAAATCTGGACAAAGAATCGGATTTTAAATTAGTGTAGAAAAATTATTTTTTTAAATATTGACGATTATGCTAATTTAACACATCGGATACAGACAATACAGTTTATTATAATAATGTAATATGATCTTTTATGAGTTTTTGGTCTTTCTTACTCATAAGTTTGTTTTTGGTGAAAAGTACTCGATATATTCGATAGTGATAATGAATTAATTAAATTGGATATAATTTTGTTAAATTATTATTTAAAAAAATAAATTTATTGTTTCATTTTATTGTTTTTATTGTTTAATTGAATGTAGTTGTTGTATATACATTTTTTCTATTTGTATTAGTAACTTTCAATTTTGTTTACGTTTGTTTAAGATAAAAAAAATAGCGGTAATTTACCGGTATTCCGGTTTTGAAATGAAAAATTACCGAAATACCGGTATTGAAATTTTCCATCGGTATTGCATTCCCTTCTACAATGTGTATGATAGAATATATATACATATTCTAATCGTTCAATATCAGTTGGCAGCATATGACGGGTGCAAATATTGCGAGAGCGAACTAAAAGCCTCAAACATGCCATCAACTGCCAAAAAGACCTCACAACTCGAATTGCCCATAGAATGCAGATCAGACTTGTTTATAATCGACCCTTACCGGGTCGACAGAATAATCACAACCCCCAAAAAAATGGAACCGAACATGTACATCGATCAGTGGGCCATCAGACTTCAAAAGAAAAGAAAGGAGAAAGAATGTTGATAAAACACAAATTTATTTTACATGTTAAAAATTCTTATAAAGTAAATACATCATCCAGTTACACACGTATTTATATATCCATATAACTCGACAAAGTAGCTTTACACAATTTGGAAATTGCAATGTGTTAAAACTAATTGTTTTTTAGAACTATATTATATTATATTTTGGGGAATATTAAAGTTACGGACCTACAAAATTAAGACTATGTAATGTATTCTTCTTTAGCCACTGACAAATTTAAATAATAAATCTTGCTTCAATAAGTAATTTGAACTAATATCGATGACTTCCTTTCGTTTTTGAAAACTAAAAACTCTTGTACATATTTGTTTACATATCTATATATATATAGTACATACTGCATATATCACCTTTATATAATATATACGCGTTCAGAAAATCTTACATACATAATAAATTATAGACCTATTTGTTGCCATATCCAATAATAATTCAGTTTTGAAAATAATCTCGAAACAGTCTCACATCCGTCGATTTGATATATATTAAATATGTGCTCCCTTCATATACATATATATATAATCAATTAATTGCAGACTATTTATACAAACATATAATTCATTAAGAAATAAAAAAATATAATGATTTAAATATTGCATGATATATAAAACATTTTGTCCAATTGTTTAAAAACTAATAAAAGTAAAAGATGAGCTGCTTGATATCAGGTCGGCTCATTTAAGGGGACTGCTGGGATCTTGTCTTAGAATTGTCTTTACTTATTGTGCCGCCACTGGCTCTGTCCTTGATACCGCTTCTGAAACTGGAGGAAAAAAAAATTTAGTAAATAAATGAATGAAAAAATTAAGTTATAATTATGTAAGAAACTATTGCAGATTTTTCATTTTGGTACAAACTTTCCAAACATGTCAATTATTTTCCACAAATAGTTTAAACCAGTAGTTTCCAACCTGTGGGGCGCAAGGGGAGTGTTTGAGTGATTTCAAATAAAAATTGTGTTGCTAGAATATTATTATCAAAAATAACCCAACATTTTTGGAAAGATATTAAAAAATAAACAAAAAATAATTAATTTTTATACATATTTTCACATAATATTGCATATTAATTTGTAGTCTGATATTATTAGTTGAGTATTTATTAAATTAAATTTATTTAATTATTTATAAAAAAAAATCAAGGGGCGCGCAAACATTCTTTTTATTAGAGCATAATTATTTTTATGTATATTTTAACATAATAGTCCAGTCATTTAAGCTTAAATTAATATATAATATAATAAGCTAGAATGTTGGAATTCGAGATTCCCAGCTGTAAGTCTGTAAATACTTGTATATTGACACTTAAAGTTGTCTCAAAACCTACATATAGTAGGTGTCAATACCATATGTAGGTTTTGAGACAACTTTTAGGGTGTCAATATACAAGTATTTACAGACTTACAGCTTAAAATTTAAGCTTAAATGACTGGACTATAATATTTTATATTAATTTGTAGCCTGGTAGATGAATTGTAAGATCAATTGAGTATTTATAAAATTAGATTGTTAGAAAAATTAAGGGGTTGCATTATTTTTTCAAAATTACAGAGGGTAGTCATTCGAAAAGGTTGGAAACCAACTGGTTTAAAAAAAAAAAACACGCGTTTAAGCCAAGAGAACAACAACCTATTTATCTAATCTTCAATGAATTTTTGTAATTTATTATAGAATTTTTCGTAGGCCTATAATCATTTAAGAATTTCAATTACATCATAAGCTATGCAAAGATTTATTAAAATAATTAATTACAATTAATTACAAAAAAATTTCCTGGCCGTACTATTGAAAACAACTATTGAAAAAAAAAAAGAAAATGGATTTCTAAAATCAATTATTTATAATTGAATTTATAACTTTGCTAATTATAAAGAAAGTGGTCAGCTGATCGTCGCACAAAGATTTCTTATAGAGTTTTTATCAAATGGCTTTAAAATATTTAAAATCTGTTCAGCAGTTTTTGAGAAAACATTGAGAGAAATACAAATTTTGAAATAGTCATATTTTATAATTTTTTTCTTTGTATTTTAATAAAACTTTGCTTAGTTATATAGCTCATGAATTCATATTATCATATTATAGGCTCAAATTATCATATTATAGGCTTACGAAAAGTGGTTCAAATTATAAAAATTCATCAAGGTTTATTTGGAAGTATTAAGGTGTATATTACATTTTGTATTTTGTTCTGATTACAATAGAAGAAATGTCGTTTTAACTCTTATCATGAATCCAAGGTTGAAAACTTTCAATTAATTTTTGTAATCAAACCGCTTCCCATAGGCCTATAATATTTTACGGTGTTCAGTTTGGCAATAAACCCTATTACCATGAAAGTTTCATCAAAATCCCAAAAGAGTAAACCCGAGGTTCTCCTGGTTAATATATATATATATATATATATATATATATATATATATATATATATAAACTAGTGGTGTATGGCATCATGCTTTAAGGTAAATTCCTGGAAAAGTAAATTTTTGAGAAATTTTAAATTGAATCTTTGGAAGAAAGATATATTCTTCTCATAGGGTAAGTTATAGTAATTTAGTTTTTCAGAGAACGAATAATTTAAAAAACATTTTGCTTGAGTAGATGGTGTGCAAAAATTGCTTTCACAGAAAAATTTGTAATTTTTCAAATTTAAAAAAAAAATGAAAGTTACAAAAACCCCAAATTTTCGAAATTTTTCATCATTCTCAAAAAAAAACTAAATTTTGAAAAATTATCATGAAATCAAATTAAAAAAAAAATGAACAAGTTTCTTGTAAACATTCACTTATAAGTTTACAGTATGTATTTATAATAAATACTCTATTTGAAATTATTCAAAACAATTATTGATATTTTCATTCCTCAAATGTTTAATTACGGTACGGAAGTTCCAGCAATTTGCCTTAAAGCACAATGCCATACACCCCACTAGTGAATTAATGCTACTCCAGATATAAGTTTGTTAGTTTAATACAATTACATATATACAAACTCTAAACAAAAAAATCTAATTTTCTGGCATTTAGAAACAATATATAAAATGTATTTATTACCACATGCATACAACAAACATACATACATAAATATTTATTAGTATTTATACAAAAAACAGATAAAATCTTGTTAGTCATACTAAACAATGCAACACTTGCCTTCAGAAGTCTTTTCTGGTGATTTTTCACAATTGTCTTTCCCCGTACAATTCTCTATTACTTTAGGTACTTCTTCCAAGTCATTGTGTTAACATTTCTTTGTCCTGAAAATAAATATACGATAAAATAATTAAAAAAAAATTGACCTATATAAAATTAATATTTATTCATCTATTAGCCATGCAAAAGCCGAAACAATAAGTACAACTAAAAACAAAACCTAGCTCACATTATCTAAAGCTTTTTAAACAGCCGGTGCCACTACTACTGGTTCGACATGCTCTTGCACATTATTCTCTACTACAACATCATTTGTAGTTGTATCATTTGTTGAACCTCATTTTTAGTAGTAGCCTCCTCCGTTTTGTCTTCTATACTGTCGGTACCGTCTTGTTCGACAACTTCCATTTTGTCTCTTCTGGTTCTTTTTTATCAGCAGCAGCATCGTCTGTTGATTTTTCTTCTGCTGAATTTTCAACGACTGCTTTTTGTTCCTCTTCAGGTTGATTACTTGATTCGGATTTATCAGTTTCATCAGTTTTTGCGGTTTCTTCTGAAGGTTCTTCTGTTTTATCATTTGTTCTACTTGGGCCTTGTCTTCGGAGGTGGATTTAGTGAAGTGTCATTGGATTCGTCTACTTCGTCTTCTTGTTCTGTTGATTCTTGCTTTCTTCGGCCTCCTCCACCTTTTCACATGGGGTGTAAAGGATAGAGGACAATTAATAACTATTATTATTTTCATATTTCATTTCATATTTCTTACTTTTTCTTCCCCTCCCGCGTCCCTTTGTGCCTTTGGGTG